GTCCTAGGCATCTCTTGCGAAAGAGACATACGATCTCAATGGAATTTGCCTAGTAAAATTACAGTAAATAAACATAATAAATATCCATGGTTTGATGAATGTTTTCTTCTTCATCTTTAGTAAGGGTTTGGATACACAGAGCTGGTTTTCAGTGAATCTATTGTTTTTTTATTGCAATCCTGCTGCTCGTTTACACATCACCGGTGCACTTTTTGAAGCCAGGACTCAGAGTGGAACTTTACTACAGCACGCCCAGCAGAGGCATGAAGCATTGGCATACAGTATATTACTAGTATTAGTATTAGTATTATTTATCAATGGTGTGAAGTACCTCGCAGGTGTGAAAGCATGCATGCCCATACAGCCGGCACCCAGGCGATTACAAAAAATGTTTCATCTAAACTAACATTAGCTCCAGTAAATTGCAGGCAGCAGAGTGTTGTTTGTGTTACTCACCCTTTGCAGCATGTAGGAGCAAAACCAAAAAAAAAGCATCCTAGGTCTGAAGGAATGTTAGTTTATTCACGAGTTTGGACATTGCTGTGATCATGCAGCCAATGCATGATCAGTGCATTTGTTGTTGTTTATTTACCCCAATAAACATTTTTAAAATACCAGCATTTCCAAAGCCTGGTCTCGCGTAAACAGGGCCTAAAACACAGTGTTCTGCAATCACAGAACATGCTTTAAGTCGTCGTTTGACATGTTTTGTTTTGGAATAGTAATACTTTAAGATTGCTCATGCAGACTGTGGCYTCGTCATGTTGTAAAATGAAACAATGGGCATTAGTATTAATGAGGGCTTCATGTCCTCAGGGAGGAACATTACCAATCATAAAGGACAGTTTTAGCTCAGAGAAATATTATTCTGCTCTACTGAACCATTTTATTTACCTTTGGGGAGCAGCGATCTCAAAACCCTGTAAACAAAGTAAACAAATCTGTCCTTTGTGTTTTCTGCACATGGGTCTCTGACCTCTTCTAATCTTTGTTTATACATTCCCTGACTTGTAATTTGTTTTGAAACCCACCTTTCGCAAACCAGCGTGTTTTATCCTCTCACTTCCTCTTCTGAATCTCAACGATGAGCTTGGTGGTATTATCCCGTTAGCTATGAAATGAAGGCACACTAACCTTCGACACACCTCTGTTTCCCCCGCCTTTTTCAGCTTATATCACTGCAAATAATTGTTTCGGATTTTAAATATAACCACAAGGTTAGGCTGCATTCTAGGCCATGTTTCTTTACATGCTTTACATTGGGACTTTGTTTCAGTATATCTGTTGGCTGTGTGTGTATGTTTGTGAGAGTAGATTGGTGGTTGACTGGATGTTTATGTGTGTGTACATTTTAATGACATACTGCACCTATATCTGACAGATGCCCATCAAATGGATGGCCCTGGAGTGTATCCATTACAGGAAGTTTACTCATCAGAGTGACGTTTGGAGTTATGGTAAGATCAGTTCCTTTTAGAGATCTATGATTTTTCCCTGAACAACTATTTCCATTCGTTTCAAAAGGCAACTTTCATACAGATAAACTTAAAAAAATGTTGTTGGCCATAGTTTTCCAGTTTAATGTCACTAAGATCTTTAGCACTTGTTTGTCCAAATGCATTTTTCGGCTGGTTATTTTAAAATGATTGTTAATAAATACTGTATGTTGCAGTTTGCAGAAAAAGTGTGATATCATGTTTAATTCATTTTTTAAGTGTCCATTTTCAATCAACATTGCTATTTTTCTCCTTGTTAGGTTCATAGACAAAAATAAACATTTTGGGGGGTTGATTTTTGAAGCTAGAAGACAGCCGCAGAGTCCAATCATTTTTTTAAAACTGCAGCTACATTGTTCACTGCTGCTAAAAAAAAACACAACAGCAACAAATGCTCCTCAATTCAGCTGTATTGCTTTTTGATTACCACACAGATACATGTATGTTTCAGACCATTTACCATCCCATGCTGAAACAAGAATATGGAGTGTTTCAAGTGTAATCTCAGTCCCTTAAAGATCAGCAAAAAATGCTTACAGCTCTTATTTTYTGCTCTGCTCAATGGGGCTGAGCAGAGCAACACTGATAGTTTCAAACAAGATTTGATTGTATCATTTTGCTCCATTCATCTGATCTGATTGATTTAATCAAATCTAAGATAAATTGTGCTTCATTTAGTTAATTGATAAGAAAGTCTTTCAAAGTGCACTGCCTCTTTAATTTACATTTGAATGTTGACTATTTTTTTTAAATCAGGCCAAAACATTCCAACATATTTTGCCTAAGCTTCATATTTATCTGTTATTCCTTTAATTTTTATGTGCTTCCTCTTACTGAACACTGAAATGGACACCAAATTCATTTTTGCTCTAAATATAGTTTTTTTCTTCTTTTATTGTTTTTAAGGCGTAACTATATGGGAGCTGATGACCTTTGGAGGGAAACCATACGATGGAATACCAACCAGAGACATTCCAGATCTGCTGGAGAAAGGGGAGCGTCTTCCTCAGCCACCAGTCTGTACCATTGATGTCTACATGGTCATGGTCAAATGTAAGTAGACCTTTAAAGAGCAATACAATGGACATCATTTTGCATGTCCTTGCAAACTATGCTTCAGACTGAAAATAAATAAATAAAATAAAATGTCTGCTACAACATGTCAGAGAGCATTATGTTCAGGTTGGGCAGATTACACAAAAAGTCYCTAGTTCTTGAGCCAATAAATCCAAGTGGCTCCAAAATGCAGCAGTCTTAATAAGTCTCCCTTTAAACATTATTTTTCTATTATTATCTGWGTTGTTTTCTGTTATCTTACATGTTATATTCTAGTCCTGTCTCCTCCGACAGTCTAACATTTTTTTACAGGCACTGCACATTTTCCAGATAATTTATTTTATTTTGGGTGTAGCTGTAAAGTAATAAGCCTGTGGAAATATTGATGTGTTGTGTCCAAATGCTCTGGCAGGATTCAACAAGGCTTTTTGTGAAGGACAATCAAAACCCAAATAAAACCTGTGGYTGTTAAATGTACCTCAGAGTTTTCTCTAATAAAGCAGTTGTGTTTGTCACATACTTTTTCAAATAAATCTGGGATAGATTAAGTCTAAAAATACTTTATTTTTGTGTCTTTTTTTTGGTCACAGTTTGTGGTGAAAAAGCATCACAAATTCTACAATGGTTTTCAGAACAGAACGTGTTTAGGACAGATTTTTTCTGGATGGCTAGCACCGGGTCATTGGAAGTTCTGGTCGGTCACTGTGACATGAGGTGGCACTGTAACAGCTGGTTGCTGTTGCAGAGACACAGACTTAGTGCCAGCTTCACCCCYACCATGTCCTCTGCTCTGGGAGCTGGAGCCTCTGGCTGTCACTGCCACCTTGGCTTTTACTGTCACCCTGAACCGGTGCCAATCTGGCAAGCAGACACACAATCATCATAGATTGGGCACAGTACTGTCATCATACTGTTACCTGCCAGGTTTCCACACTACTTCATGTACAGAACTCATGCATTCAATTAAGTAGAATCAAAGTGTTTTAAATACATTTACACATTATACCTTTAACTGAAAACCAAAGTCYATTAATGTATTCTTCAATTAATACGAATTAAGCTTGGCCATAAACTAGGACCAAGTTTAAACTAAACAAATTCCATAATTTATTAATCTGCAATAATCTACAATGTCTTGAAGATTATTCAAGATACTGCATAATATCTTGAATAATATCATKAAAAAGTATATCAGGGGCTATAAATCTTAAAGTGAAATATTTTATTTTACGTGACAGAGGGTAATTTTAGTTCAAGGAATTCTCACTTTGGCTGATTTCCTGAAATCTGTTTCTACTTATAGGGTCTGCTCCAAGATGGTYCTTTATTCTGATAAATATGATTTTTACAGTCAGCAGTAATGAAAAAAACCCCACTGAACGAAATGGTTTTAATCATTTTAAAATATGATTAGGATACAAATTTATTTGCGTTCTTTTAATATAGGATGTTTTACGTAAAATATCACAACTTACAATGTAAAGACCCAAAATGTGATGCATGACACAATTTTGCTTCATAAAAATCAGTATTTTGTATCTTCTTGTTCATCTGACTCATCTTATTTTATTTCTTATAGTTGAGTTTTGATGTTTTCTGTCTTAATGTTTTTGTGTCTTTCTTCATATCTTATTTAGCAAGTGTAGTTTCAGCTGAGAAATTTAAATTATTTTCCAGTTTTCTCTTTCACTTTGCAGTTCCAATCAGTATGTTTGCAGTTTATATACATTGTATCTTGCAGTGTATTTTTTTTTTTTTTTTAGTTTTCAGTCATTCAGTTAGATTCTTGTAGCCTTTTCTTTCTGCAGTTTGTTTACTTTTGACCCTTTATGGGAATTTGTTGAACAACTTGGTCTAAAGTGTTTTGCAAATCTATGGTATGCAGCAGGCATGCACCGATACCATTTACCAGTACTTCAGACTGGGTATACTCGCCAATACTGAGTACGGATGCAAGTATTTACTGAGTTAGAACTTAAACTTTACACAGTGATTTTAAAAACACAGTTTTAAAATTAGAATCTGGCGCTAAATCAGATATATATCTGTTGTTTGTCAAAATGAACCTTAGTGGATTTATAATCCTGGTTCTCAAGGACCATTATCCTGCATGTTTTATTTGTTTCACTGCTCTTCAGCAGGTTTTTAAGTTCTGCAGAAGCCTGTCAATCACTCATATATTTAATTCAGGTGTGCCAAAGCAGCAAAGCACCCAAGACATGCAGGACAGTGGTTCTCAAGGGCCGGGATTGAGAACCACGTATGTAAACAGATCACTTGTTCCATYAGTATATGCTTCACCAGAGCAACTGACCAGAGGCAGGTTAAAATGTAAACCATGAACTAATCAAGCATGCCAGATAATTATTTAACTGGTTCTGATTGAACAACAACTTCAGACAAGCTAACAAGTAGCATCCACCATAGCTATCTGTTTTCTTGTGTAAACAGTGAGCAAAACYTGACGTCACCTTTCATTTTATTTAGTAATCTATTTTCTCTGTTGTGTATAGAGTTTGTTTTTGTTTTTAATGAAATGAAAGTGCATTTAAAATAATAAAAAAAATAAAATAAAATAAGAAATGTAACGTTGCGTCKCTCTCGTTCCATAAAATGCACACTTCACTGGAACAGACGGCCACAGGGAGGTTAAAATGTAAACAGTGAACTAAACAAGCATGCCACATAATTATTTTGACGGTTCTGATTGAACAACAAGTTCAGAATCGACAAGCTAAGAGGTAGCATCCACCATAGTGACCTGTTGTTTACTTCTGTGAACAGTGAACAAAATGCAATGTCATGTCATCATCTGCACATGCATGTCACATCGAACGTAAAAAAAATTCAAACTGAAGTCAAATGGAATTGCATTTAAAATGTGAACATCCATGCCAAAATTTTTAAAAAAAACGAAAAGTGTCAGTTCTGTGTATCAAAGCATTTTGAATGAGTACAAGTACTTGAAAAATGCTGGTATTGGGCCTGATACCATATACCGGCATCTGTGCATGGTGTGCAATGAAAAAAAAAAGATAGTTCACAGAAAAAATAATACATTTTTCATTCAATATGCATTGAATAAACTCTTCACAGATTATATCTTTACAGCTTAAGATTTTTGCATGCTGAGAAAAAAAGGCTGAGATAAACCTTACATAAGTATATAAAGTAAAAAAAAGTTCAAATATAAAGTTATGAGTTACAAGAAAAGTTGTTGTTTGAATGAATTACTGGCTTGAACCTAAAAGTAGTATTTCTATTACAGTTAAACTGTCAGTATTAAAGCCTTTAAAGTTATAGGTGTTATTTATTTTACTGGTAACTAATACAAACACATTTTTCAGGCTGGATGATTGATGCAGACAGTCGACCCAAGTTCAAGGAGCTGGCTGCCGAGTTCACTCGAATGGCTCGTGATCCCCAGAGATATCTGGTCATCCAGGTACATAAATTACAGTGACAGAATAAGAATAAGTTGTTTTAAAAATAAATCTGTCTTCTGCTCTGTTGTTTTTTGTCTCATTATTAATTTATGCACGGTTTGTGTAATGACTTTTTTTTTTGATCATGAAGTATTAAACCACTAATTATAATTTGGTAAATTTGTGGCAATTGAAATGTAGAGCAAATATTATGATTAAAATTTGCAAGTAGCCTCAAAAATATTATTTGCTTCATTATCAATTACCAATTTCAATTTCTTATTAAAAAAATGGTTTTAACATTAGCTTTCGCACGATTGCTTGTATCTACACATTAACACACACATTTATAAGGGGGATGACCGCATGAAGCTGCCGAGTCCCAACGACAGCAAGTTTTTCCAGAACCTCCTGGATGATGAGGAACTGGATGACCTGATGGATGCTGAGGAGTACCTGGTTCCTCATTCCTTCAATGTTCCACCACTGGCATACAATCCTCGCACACGCATTGACTCCAACAAGGTAGGGTATTGTAAAAATATGTGGAAAACTTAAAGTAAACAGCCCTTTCCTTGTGTTTTTTTTTCTTTTTTTATCATTTGTAAATTTTGAATTTATACAACACAATCAAATAAAAAACAGTATGAATATATGACAGTATACAATAAATGGTAAATATGGTAAATAGRTTTATCAAGTCCCTGCAAACTCCAAAGTGCCCTACCACTCTGCCACAGCTGCCCCACAAATATTTTACATGTAAAAATAAGTGTGTAAAAATAATAAATAAAACATCATAGCTTTCATTACTTTGCATTTTTGTCATTTAGGTTATTTGTATTTTTGAGACGTTTTTGCCTCAGTGTTTTTTACAAACCTCTTTGTTTTTTTATGGCTGACTCCACTTCTTCACAGAGCCAATTTAGCTGCCAGGATCCCAGTTACAGCATGGCGGACATGCTGGCCACTCTCCCTAGAGTGGCTCCACCGGCATGTGGAAGCAGCCTCCCGCCACAGGAACTCGCTGCTGGGGGGCAAATGAGTGGTGGATTTAGCCGTGGCAACCAGGATGACCCTCGCTGCAATGGAACCCTGAGGAAGCAGACCTCCCCGAGGTCAAACACGCTTGGAGCCGGTTCAGCTCTCACCGTAGGACAAGGTGATGCAGGATCAAAAGCAGCCTATGACAGTACTTTAACACAGCTAAATGTTTTGGACTCCTTGAACACACTTTTGAAATACAATTTACTTTTGAACAAGAAACAGACTTGACACTGACACGACACAAACATAGTGTTTAGTGTGCAATGTAGAGTTCCTGAAGTGTTTTTAAGCCACTCAACTGAAAATTCCCTTTCTCCCAGTGGCTACAGTGGCACAAAAAGTCCAGTTGTTCAGTGCCTTATTTTGGACTACTGTAGTAGCATGGTGATGCAATATGACAGGTGGAAAAGAAGGGCAGTTCAGAGGTGACCGGAGCTGAAACTCGACTGAAACAAAAAAAGTGGTACAAAAATGTGTGAATATTGAAGGCCAGTGCATGGCTCAACACAATAATAACAATAAAAAACAACAGATCAGGGCTATTCAACTGGCGGCTCGCGGGCCGGATGGGACCAAAGTTTGGCCGGCCAATTGGTTCATTCATCTCTTTAGCCCAAACCCCTGGTTTTCTACTTTAATTACTGTGAGATCTTTTKGTTAAACATAGACATGTTTGGTATCTACAGAAACATCAGAATCTTGGCTACAAGCTGGTAAAAATTATTTCTATGCACACTTAAAACAGTTAAAATTACAAGCAGTTGAAGATAAAACTATGAAAGTGAAAATAAAATTGATTTAAAAATTTGGCAAGTCAGATGTTAACATATTATTTCTTTTACATAGGAGGCAGAATGTGTTATTTTTGTTTTTGATATTGTTTATTTATCACTACTTTTATTACATAGGGTTCTGTTTGTTGTATTCATGATTAAATGCAGCAAAATAAGTTATTTCAAAGGTAACAGATCTTTGTAATACTTGGTTTATTTACATAATAACTGTAATTGCTGGATGTTCGGCCCCTCAGCTGTTGGCCTGCAGTAACTGTGGCCCCTGGAGCAATTTAGTTGAATAGCCCTGCAATAGATATATTAAACTGTTCAAAAATACTTACGGTAACTAAATGTGGGACTGGAAAATAACTTTGTTCAACCATTTTGAATGATGTAAATTAATTTTGCTCACTGGTTAACCTCTCAGGTCTCTGTGCCTGTCTTTATTACATATGCAATATTTGACAACATAAAATTAGCAATGTAAAGTAAATTTCAATGCAGCTCAGGACACTAATGCACCACAATCTAATGGCAAAAACAAGTAATTGGCATGAATCATTGTAATTTCTGAAATTTTAGCCAAAAAACAAACAAAATAAACACACACACAGAAACATATAATGTACACAAAAAGGCCACTGAATCAAAAATGTACCTTTTTCTGCATGTTTGTATAAAAATGGTTAAAATCCACTTCTGAATCAAGGCTCAAATCTTTCCTCTGTTGTTTTGAAACTAATAGATTTTGTCTTTTCTTCCAAAGCTGCCATAGAAGAGAGTAGTGGACAGCGTTACAGTGCAGATCCTACTGGTCTTTTAGCTGAACGAAGTGAAAAAGGAGACAAGAACATGACTGTCAAAAGGGACAAGAACACTTCAGGTTGGAAAAAAAAAGTTTTGAAAGCAACTAAATAAATTTATTAAACCTTTCAGCTGCACAGACAATATTTTATATGAACTTTTTTATGACAAATATATATCTTTGACATATCAGTTCTGTAAAAATTCAAAATACTGTATTTCTTTTTTTTGTATTTTTTAGGGCTTTTTGCTAATTTGAACTTATTTTATTAACAGATTTTCTCCAGCCTATCGAGGAAAACCCCTTTGTCACACGTCGTCGGAATGGGGACGCTCACGTAGTGATAGATGGATCAGGTTGTCACACCTTGCACTTAGCTGGGGCTGCTGCAGCCCCKCAAAACCAGTCCACTCACACAGATGATGAGTACATCAATGAGCCACTGTACTTGAATACATTCCTTAACCCCGGGGACAAAAATGGATTAGCTGGTGCAATTTCCATCTCTGCTTCAACCTCATCAGCCGCACAATCAGTCCTGCAGACAGCAAACCCGTCCGCATCAAGCCACATTGTTTCTTCTTCTGGATACGTGGTAACCCCAGGTCTACTACCCCACCCGTCATATCCATCGCACACGTTGCATCCGGGACATTCGGGACACACTCTGCATTCAGGCATCACCAGCAACACAATAATGTTTGATAAGAAAGGCAAGAAAGCCACTTTTGACAATCCTGAGTACTGGCAGCACAGTCTCCCRCCGAAGTCGACATTGCACAACCCTGAGTACTTGCAGGACTGCAGCACACGCTTCTTCTACAGGCAGAATGGACGCATTCGCCCTGCTGTAGCTGAAAACCAGGAATACTTATCCGAGGCTGCTATGAAAGCTGGCAATGTATTGCCACCCCCTCCTTACAGGCAGAGGAACACTGTGGTGTAGTGACCCCGCCTGTAGCTCCTGAAGGGATGAACAAAGACAGGTGGTGGAGTTAAATAGTTGTGTTTTTCAATGRCATACTTCCCCAACTGGGTTGTTCTTGCACCTTCTCTGAACACTTTTTTGTTTGTTTCGTTTTTCTTTGGTTTCATTCATTTGCAAACCTTCAATGAATCTGCCTTTTCATGACAGATCTACAACAACGGTCACCTGATTTGTTTAGAATCCGGACCATCTGATTACCATGACTCTTAAAACAATTGGAGGCATCTCTTTGAAGGCGGCTCTGTCCTGGATAAAACCGCTCTGACATCTTTAGCAACAGAACAGAAAGAGTGAAARATGAGGTAAGAGAAAATTGTTAATGGATAGGGGAAAAAACAACTAAATCTAAGGTTACCCTGAAGGTATTTTTTCATGACCCTTTAGGATTACTTTATATTCACCCTATTGTATGCGTTTTCTACCCAGCTGTACTTGTACACTGTTTTACCTCTACATAGCTTTTTTTTGTGCGTGGGTGCAGATTATCGTYTGAAACATGCATTTAAAGTTGTGTCTGGTCGTCCCAGCAAACCAGTCATGTTGAGAAGACCAGATGTGTCTTCCATTCCTGCCCACACAGTTCCTTCTTTTTTTTTTTCTGCATTAATAATTTAATTCAAACATTCCTTACACACATACGTACATATCATACATGGATCAAGTTAACACACCTGAAAGCTTGACACACTAATCGTAACCATACAAGAATTCACACGTAAATACACACAGTGACAGATGAGCCTGCTGCTGCTTGAATGAATTGACCTTGTGCTGAAAGACAAAAAAGGGCTGCAAACGGCAGGCAGTCTTGCAACACAGAAAAAAAAATGGGTCAAGATGAAAGAAAATGCTGCCACAGTTATTACCAAGCATCTAGTTGAGAGATTTTGACAAATTGTCAAATGCAGGTTTGGGATTAAGGAGTTGATTGATGGGATGTTGTTATTTTAGTTCCTACTTTTTGTTGTTAGCTTCTTTTCAGTCTACTTGACAATTTTATCCAGAAAATACAGCCTCAAAAAGCCAGTTTGTGTCAAGTTTATGTTTCAACTAAATGAGTAAATGTAAATGAATAATCATCATATTAAAGAAAAAAAAACACTATAGGTAAAACTTTCAAAACAAAATAGACATTTGTTTTTACCTTTGACTTTGAACTATTCTTTAAAATTAAGCTTTGRAWTTTCTTTTGACTCATCAGGGATCTGTTTCATGTGTCATGTTATTTTATTATGTACTGTATTTAAATAGCAAGAAATGGTGAAAAACAACACCGACAACAGTGGCGAATGAGAACTGTGGAAATGGCAAAAAGGCTAATCCTTCGGAGCTGTAAATAAGCCAATTATATGTCATTATCAGACAGCCACATTTGTGGAAAAAAGGCTTTATGAAAGAAGTCGTGTCTGAACAGAAGTAGAAGTACATCAAAGACAAATATTCAAGAGGTTTTGTGCTACAGTTTTTTTTATTTTATTTTACTTTTCATAAACAGGAAAATTAAGCTGACTTTGTAGTCACAATCTGCTTTTAGGTGGGATAGGTAGTGGGCCTTCCAAAACTCTACAGACACTTCATTTGTATCATGTTATAAAATACAAAGAAAGAAGTCAAAACTTTGTTTTGTAGTGTTTGATGAAATTGTTTAGAACTTCAGCTTAGTTCTGAATTTGCTCCGTACTCATACTAAACTGGCTGATGTCATGAAAATGATAAAAACAACTGCTCAACAACAAAAAAATAATAATAATA